TGATCTGCATTACTGTAAAGCCCAGATGTAGTGCATGCATTGCTTCTTTCTTATTAATATAGTTTTTGCAGACCAACTCGTTATAAACAATTGTTGAAAGCTAAACTCCCCTGTCAGAAATGAGTTTAGCTGTTGAACTGGTGAATGTGACACTAGCTCACACTAACCCTGATCCAGTCGTCAGCATTAGACACCGGACTGATGCTCTCGAGTCGTGTGTGTTCGACTGCTTTACTTCTGAATCATCGTCAGTCGATGTCGCCGCTGTAATTAAACAATCCATCAGTGTTCATCCGAAAAGCTCCCCGCGTTCACACTGCAGTCAATCCGGTGTCACTCCTCTTCTCTTCACAGGTGTTTACAGTCGTGACAAACGAATACTCATTAAATATCTGTGATTTTTTTTAAATGATTTTGAAAGAGTCTCTTCTACTCACCAAAGCTGCATTTATTTGATCAAACATACAATAAATATTATTGTAATGTAAATCAGCTGTTTTCTATGTGAATATACAGTAAAGTGTAATTTATTCCTGTGATCAAAGCTGAATTTTCAGCATCATTACTCCAGTCTTCAGTGTCACATGATCCTTCAGAAATCACTCTAATATGAGGATCTGATGCTCAAGAAACATTTATGATTATTATCAGTGTTCATATTTTTGTGGAAACTGTCATACATTTTATTTCTCAGGATTCTACGATGAATATAAAGTTAAAAAGAACAGCATTTATTTGAAATAGAATCTTTTGCAACATTATAAATGTCTTTACTTTCACTTTTGATCAATTTAATGCGTCAAAGTATTACATTTCTTTCATAAAAACAATCTTTTGAACTGTAGTGTTTAGCTGAAGAATCACACAGAGAAACGATTTATTCTCGGATTATACACAAGTCTGTTTCTCTCCACCTTTCCTTATTAGCTTTTTTTAAGTCTGTAATCTACTTAAATGCATCTAATGTTTTTAGAAGAGTTTGATGAGTTTCTGCTCACTCGTCTGTTTTACTGTGAAACGTGGAGTTGTTCAGATGATCTGAACTCAGAATGCAAAAAATGCTTTACTCACTTAGTATTTTTGTCTCGTTTCCAGTCCAAATATCAAAAAAAAAAAAAAAAAAATCTTTTTCATATCATATTTATTCTTCTGTTGTAATATATTTTGTAAAGTGTTAAAAAAAAGAAGAAGTTTTTTTTCTTTCTTTTCTCGTGTATGTTCTGGGTTATGAATGTGAGGATGAATTTATAAGCATGTAGAGTTTCTGTAGATTTTGGTCTGTAAATTTTGTTTCTTATAAAAAAAAAAAAAAAAAAAATTATTAAATCAAGATGCATTTACTAGATGAGTAAAATGCCATAAGATATTATGTCTTGTTTTCCGGGGGAATTAATCAAAATTAAGTGAGTTTATGCTTAAAACAAGCAAAATGATCTGCCAATGGTGTAAGAAAAATAGTCTTGTTTCTGTTTAATTAAGATTATTTTTCTCACCCCATTGGCAGATAATTTTGATTGTTTTAAGCAAAAACTCACTTAATTTTGATTAATTCCCCCGGAAAACAAGACATAATATCTTATGGCATTTTACTCATCTAGTAAATGCTTTGAATTTTTGATATTTGGACTGGAAACAAGACAAAAACACTAAGTGAGAAAAGCATTTTTGCAGTGCAGATTTCACCGTTATAAGTCTTTCATAAAGGAATAAAATAACACATTCAGCCGTCAGGAAAGCTGCATCCTCAGAGCCGCACATAAACACACACACATAAACACACACACACATAAACACATACACACATAAACACATACACACACATAAACACATACACACATACATATACACATACACACACAAACACACACTGCCCTGTCAAACACTGAACGTCACATTTCAAAGACAACAACGGAGGAGAATGGAGATGTCAAGTATCAGACAGTGTAAAAGCGGATCCTTTCATAACCGTTGACTTTATTTAGACGTTAAGTCTATTAGTGTTTCTTCCTCAGTGTTTCTGTCAGGTTTTCCTGCACAAATATCGAAACATTCTGAAATCAAGATGCATTTACTGGAAAAGAAGCAGAATGACTGAAGATATTAAGTCTTGTGTATTGCATCAAAAGCTTAAAACAAGAAAAATCTTATTTTTCCCTTTACATTGGCAGATATTTCTTCATAATTTAAGTATGAAGTCACTTAATATACTTAATATCTTCAGTCATTTTGCTTCTTCTCCAGTAAATGCATCTTGATTTAAGAATGTTTGGTAACACTTTACTTGAAGGGGTGTGCATAAGACTGACATGACACCTTCATAATCATGACATGACACATGTCATGAATATGAAGGAGGGTTTATGCATGTTTATGACATCTGTCATTAAGTGTCATTCGCGCAATTATGAAATTTTTAATGCAAATATGACATTGTTTGAGATGTCTTTGTTATGACAACTTGACATTACCAAGACAACATAAATTGTCATAAACATGTCATAAACTTGACATAGCAGATTAATTATCATGACATTGGCTGTCATGAGGCATTATAACTGTGTCATGAATATTTTTCTTGACCTCGACCACAGTGGTACAAATTGATTTTGTCATTAAAATGTTATAATGGCCTCATGACAGCCAATGTTAAAACCAACCACATGACAGTTTAATGTAATGTTAACCCATAAAGCTAAGTGGTTTCTTAAGTTTGATAATTAATCTGCTATGTCATGTTTATGACATGTTTATGACAATTTATGTTGTCTTGGTAATGTCAAGTTGTCATGACCAGTGTTGGGGAAAGTTACTTTGAAAAGTAATGCGTTACAATATTGCGTTACTACCTTAAAAAGTAACTTATTGCGTTACTTAGTTACTTTTTTAGAAAAGTAATGTGTTACGTTACTTTTGCGTTACTTTTTTTCCACCTGGGCTGGGCTTGTTTTTTTATACCAAAAAAGATATATTTTTGGGCAAAT